CTACCTCTCCCTCTACCTCTCCCACCCTCTCTCTCTCCCGCCACCCACCCCAGCAGACACCGGCTCGACCGCCTCCCAAAGTACCCGCCTGGCGCCGCCTCTGCCCGTCGAGCGTTCCACAGACGTCTCGTTCACCAGTAGCCACCTGACGTCGGACGGGCGAGGACCGCGCTGGGGACTGTGTGGTGCCTTACGGAACATTGTGTGAAGTTCCACAGTGCAGTGTTGGAACGGTGGAGCTAGTGTGTGAATAGGTGTTACGTCTGAAAAGCCTAGGTGGCATGGAGAGTGGTTGTTACTGGGTAGATCTGGATCGGGAAACTGTGATGCGCGTCAAGTGAAGTGGGTCTAGTGGAAATGGATCAAGCTTGGTTGTCTTTGGATAGTCGAAGGCTGGTACGTATCCAGGGAAAGGGTTTTGGGAAACTCAGATGCGTACTTGTCAAGGAAGCTACTGGGTGCTTTATTTAAGGTCTCGCTAATGGAAGGTTGTGCGAGGTCACTGGAGGTCATTGGGGTTATGTAAGGTCAAGCATGAGCGTTATGAATGGAAACTTACGGGAATTTGAGTTGAAGCATGAATTATGCATTATTGACGAGGAAAACAACAGTTTATTTGTTGCGCTTACGCTCCACCGATTATTTGAACTGGAAATGATGCCATTGAGCATCGACCCACATCATTCTGTCCATCATTTCCAGCAATCCACTTTTCCTTTTTCTCTAGATTTCCCTAGGATATCTGGAATGCTGCTGTGATGTCTGTATGTGTGTCATAGTTTTGACAGTTTTGATATGTGGGGCACCCAATTGGGATTGCTGCGTCTCCTGGATAGGCTTTTTGTAATTAGTTGCTGTGGATTTTGTCCCCGGTATGAGACATCTCTGTTGCAATCAACATTTGACTGTTTTTTGCCAGGATTTCCGCTCTGTACCAGTATCAGCTCATTTTCAGTTTATGAATGCTTTACCCATTCATTTATTTTTGTGACAATAACCGTCTGATCTCTTTACCAATATCTGACCTCTTTGTCAGTATCTTTCTGTTCTTTACTAGTATCTACCTCGCCCATACTATCCGCCCGTTCTCCTTTATACCCCGTTCTTATGTCCGACGTTCCCATGAGATGAATGTGTGAACGTCTAACGGTAGCAACCACAGTATGCGTCCCAGCCTCATGGGAGGCGGTTGTCTGCCCCATAATGGGAAAACTGGGAGAGCTTGTAACGGTTTTACCGTTGGCTTCCGCTGTGGCACGGCTCTCGCGAGATTAAGCGGTAGGTTCTGCCTTTTCACATTTCTGGCTATATCTCAGAAACTAATCGATATACGATGAAGTCATTTTGGAGGATCATGGCAGGCATGCGTGAAAATAAATCGATCACATCTTCAACCCTTAAAAGCTTAAGACGAAGAAGATATGGCGGGAAATTGAATTTCATGGGGGCAAAACCTACCGCTCAAACCCGCGAGACCTGTACTGATAGGATAAGGCTGTTGGTTTCAGCTAAAATTGTTTGTGAGGATGCTGGATTCAACAGGCGGTGTGAAAAGGCTGAAAGCGCTCGCTCCGACGTCTTGTATCGTATTGAGCAATAAAGAGCGATCCACATTCTCAAATTACGTGACGATGACTGCAATCATGAGACAATTATGACATGCATGGTTGTCGATCATGACACATACATGATCTTGGATTGATTGGTGCACATTTTAGATAGACGCTCTACGTCTTCGGCATAAAAGGATTATAAAGACGGCAAATATAGCATTGTCGGTGTTTTGAGCTTCTTCATTTAGTTAATTTTGTGTTTTTACATCAAGGCTCCCTACCCCTCGAATCAAATTTGATTCTGTTGGTTTAATGTTATCGCAATGACACCAAAACCTACCAAATGTTTGTGTACCGTTTCCACCGTGCGGGTCGTTCAGTGCCCACCATTCCGTCCGTTCCGTTCGATGCGTTTGACCGTGTCTGAGTCCCACGGCTTCATTCTCAAGCGAAAAGCGGCTGGTTCTATCGGGTGGTCACGTGTGTAGTGGTGGTGGGAGTGGTTGATTGTATCGTCTGGTCACGTGACTAGTGGTGCTGGGAGTGATAGCTTCAATGGTCTGGTCACGTGGTAGTGTTCATGGGACTGACTGCTATTATCGTCTTATCTATCGCCATGTGTTTAGTGGTAGAGGTGTGGCACTACTTCTGCCTTTTACTCCTGTCGGTTGATCATGTGTAGGCTTCTTCCCTCCACCGCTCTTATCACCAGCCGATAGAAGCGGTTGAAGAGATGTGACCCAGATGCTATTAACAATAGAGAGCACACGAAATAAATCCGGTAGGTACCCAGTCATAGGCGTCGCCAGAGATTTTCGGTTGGGGGGGGGGCAAAATCAACTTTTGTGTGAAATCTTGCCTTTCCCCAGTCGTTCCTCACTCGTTTTACATATCATTCGACGCGCAATGGTGCGAGGAATCCGATGGTGACAAAGTTTTCCTTCTATCTATGACATGTCATTTTGTTTAGAGAAAAATTTGAAATTTTGAAATTTCTCGACAAAAACGACCGGTAGAATTACAGTGGCTGCGATTGCCGACGCAATGCAGAGGGCCCCTGTGCATACTCGTCGTTCATGATCATTACCCAGAAAAAGGTGAAAAACGTTCCATTTAATCGCATCACCCTGCTCAAACCTCCATTCACGCATGCATGCAGAGGTTTTACGTGAAATGCATATTGCATAGGCCTTATCCCTGCCGCCGATTGTAGCTAAGTTGGGCATTCGGCGGAGACTGAGAGTGAATGTCGGAAGTGTGAATAAAAAATTATCCATTTTTGCTCCAATGAGAGGAAGTGTTTTGTTCCCTCGAGTGTGAACAAAAAGTTTCTCGTTTATTCGAGTGAAGGGAAGCGCTGTAAACGTAAAACGGGAACGAAAATGTTTAACGGAACCAAAAGTTACGCACGGCAGAGCGCCAAGGGATCCCTAGAAATAGGCTTGGGACTTCCAGGCCATTTCAGGCCACTCATGGTCAGTGTGCAATGTGGATTCTTAAAAGCCTGCTTAGGATCCCGGAGATCGGCGTGGGCCACCCCAAATATTTACGTGTATGTGGTGCTTAAGGGCTTTCCGAGCCCAAGGTGGAGCCCTAAGAAGCCAGTGTGGGCGGCGGGCGCCAAGAGACTAGGCCCAGGGTGAGCCTGGAACCCTCGGATAACGTATGCACCATCTGGGTCTGTGTCAAATCCCTAAGGACCCTATGTAGGGACATAAGAAACATTTGTTGCGGCCCTCAGAGGGACACGTGAGTTGTGACCCCTCAGATGCCGGCATGGGGTTAGCAAACTCTATCTCCTCAAAAGTTCGGCTGAACTATCAGAGGCCAGTTAAGGTTCTCAGACATTTTCGAAGGCATCCTCAAAGATTCGTGTGGCCCTTCAGAGGTCGACGCATGTATAAGGTCCTCAAAAATCACTGTATGGGCCCTCAGAGAACATGGACACCAGTGGGACTCTCAGAGACCGGTTTTGGCCCTCTGAATACCTCTTAGAGCTCAGTGGAGCTCCTTAGGAGCCTGTGTGATAAGCAAGTTCATGAGCCCTGCGGCACTTTAACGGTGCTTGAGCCTGTCGTAGACATTTGACAGGAGTTGAGAAAGGCCCCGAAGATTTCGTGTCACGCTTTGAACGAAAATTATGCGTCAGCAATCCAAAACTTATGAAAATCAGCTATAACATGTAATAAAGAACCAACAACATGGAATGAATCACAGCATTGACATTTCCGAGTCTGGAGTCGGAGTCTTGAAGATTTTGGGGACTGCGACTCTGACTCTGGTTTGAACTGCACGCTCCAACCGAGTCTGACCTTACAGGCATTCTCAGAAAGGTACCCCCATTTTTTTCCCGACTCCAAAATCTCATCGGATCTGTATCGATCTCAGGGGGTGCCCGGTCCGAGGTTGGGGGGGCAAGCTGCCCCGCTTGCCCCCCCCCCCCGTAGCGACGCTAATATACCCAGTACCCACCTCCTTTTGAAGCTTGACCGTATCGTTTCCACTTATCGCCGCTAGATGGCAGTAGCTATCAACGCCTGCATATATGCTATGCCGCAATGCCCAACCTGCCGATATTCTACATAACAGATGACGCTAGTGTCGAACGCCTGAATACACGCTGTGCCGTAGGGCTAGTTTTGTTTATCCGTCACTCAATAGATGGCGCTGCTATCGAACGCCTGAAGATATGCTGTGCCGCATTGCACGAAGTCCGTTTGTTCGCCGAGTTGCGTGCGGTTCCGTGCGTGCAATAGCTATCCGTTCTTCTGTGCGTGTGGAAAATGGCGTGCAATCGGGGGTTGTGCAGTTGCATTGGTGTGATTATCTATTGCGTTTCGTTCAGACCTGGCAAAGGCGATGGCAATTCTGCGCAGTGGTTATCACGGGAGAAAATCATAGGTTAGGTACCTGGAAATGGCAGAACGATTGTGAAATAGTAATGATATCGTATGACGTGTTGTGAGAAGTTAGCTTATGTCGATTCCTGGTCCTGCAATTTGGTAATACCAACCGTTGCGCTACAATGAATGAAGTATAAGCAGTTGAGCACTGAACAGTGAACACCATTTAGCGTGGAATGGATAAAAAAATATATTGTTGTATCCGTGCGGCCTTTTCTGGCCCACTTTATGACTCACACTTTTTACAGTTAAAGTGTCTCGAATTTCGGTGTGGTCTTGTCTGTAGGATCATTCCAGCCTAAGCTAACCCTGGCTGTGTGTCTCGCCTGCCCTGATTTCTCCTTCTCTTCCTCCGCCACCCCCCCCCCCCCACCGCGCTGTCCTGCTGGTTCTACTACCTTACCATTTCCTGCGCTCTTCAGGCATTCCTGGTGTGAACGATCCACTTAATAATGTTGTTTCCCCAAGGGTCTACTTCTTACCCCCGCCCCCTTTGTTACTCTCCAGGGTATCGTTACTTACCCCCTTCTGTCTTCTTCCGCAGGGTCTGCAGCGTGACGTCACAACCCTGTTGACATTTCGAGAACACGTGCTGGACTCATTACCCCGTCTGCCGAGTCCGCCGGCCGAGCCGCCCTGGCGACCGAGCCGGCCACCGCCCTGGAAAGCCAGGTAGGTACCGCTCCCGTCCTAGATTTTGCCGCTCTGGAAGGCTATGTAGGTTTCTTTCCCGCCCCAGACCTCGTGGGAAAGCCAGGTAGGTTTGCTGCCCCTCCCCCGTCTCAACTCTGGTGCCTTGGAACTAGGGCTTAGGTAGGTTTTGCTCCAGCCCCCAACTCTGCCACCCTGGAGAGCCAGGTAGGTTTGTTCCTGCCCTAGACTTTACCTCATGGGAAAGCCAGGTAGGTACCGCCCCTGCCCCCAACTTTACCGCCCTGGATAGCCAGGTAGGTTTCTTGCCGCGCTAGACTTTACCTCATGGGAAAGCCAGGTAGGTTTGCTGTAGAGATGTCAATCGGATACCAACTTTTTGGTATACCGATACCAAACCGATACCAACTTGGTATTTGGTATTTCAATCGTAATGTGTTTGGTATTTTGTTGGTATCATAAGCCCTCACTAATGTATTAGAGGCTAAGAAATCGGTAAAAAGTTGGTATTTTCCTCAGTTTCCCAAGTTGGTTTGGTTTCGGTATTCTCCCGTGGTTTTAGTTGGTATTTGGTTTGGTATCGGTATTCCGATTTTCCGTGATTGACATCACTAGTTGCTGCCCCTCCTCCTCCCAACTTTGCCGCCTTGGAAGTAAGACTAGGTAGCTTTGCTGTCCCTCACGCCCTCAACTCTGCCGCTCTGGAGGGCTATGTAGGTTTGTTCCCGTCCTCGACTCCTCCTTATGGGAAAGCTAGGTAGGTTTCCTCCCGCCCTAGACTTTACCTCATGGGAAATACAGGTAGGTTTGCTGCCGCCCTAGACTTTACCTCATGGGAAAGCCAGGTAGGTACCGCCCCCGCCCCTGACCCCTCCACTGCAACCCTGGAAGGTTAGGTAGGTTTCCGCCCCCGCCCCCAACTCTGCCGCCCTGGAAAGCCAGGTAGGTTTCTTGCCGCGCTAGACTTTACCTCATGGGAAAGACATGTAGGTTTCCTGCCCCTCCCGCCCTCAACTCTGCCGCCCTGGAGAGCCGGGTAGGTTTGTTGCCGCCCTAGACTTTACCTCATGGGAAAACCAGGTAGGTTTGCTGCCCCTCCCCCCTCTTAAAGGTAGTGTGCCAGCTTTCCTGGGCCGTATGGAGTTAATGGCCCAGATAAGGAGAACCGAATTTTTAGAACTTATCCATACCTTCAAAACTCATGGAAGCGTCTTAAATTCTTCAAATTTTGAGTACCCCAGTGCGAAATTCGCCCCGACGGGTTGTCGGTCGTACCCCAACCACATTTCACACCACTATGAACAATAAATGCACACACTGAAATCGCTATTACCGATATGCTCATCCAATCAAGTTTCTATAAACCCGTTCATCATCAGCTCCTGCGGTTTACGAACACGCCTGTTAGGTGGTGCGGTAGACCGCGCCCAAAGCCAGGGCCCCGGTTGGCCCCGGTAACGTGAGGTAGCCGAGTCAGGGCAGCGTGCGCTGACCCAAGCCGGAGCCGCGCGTCCTCCCGGTGTCATGTGATAGCCCTGGGCTGCCCGCGGGGATGCGGTAGACCGCGCCCAAAGCTGCGGCCCCGGCTTGGGTCAGCGCACGCTGCCCCGACTCGGCTACCTCACGTTACCGGGGCCCTGGCTTTGGGCGCGGCTTCTGCTCATACTTTGTGGTGCGGTGGTGGCGCGTCGGGCTGCGCGCTCTGACTTCGGCCAAGAAAAATGCGTCAGCTGATCATGGTCATTTCTGCCACTTGCGTGTGGTGAAATGGGGTCATGACTTATGAGACGGCTTTTTCATATCAATTATTTTACATAAAATCATATTTCAAACCATAAATAATGTTCGACAGCCAAATAAAAGAAACAATACCAATACAGGCTTACAGTTTAAGGCTCGACATTGTGTTGTCTACGATTAGACAGCTGATAACTCATTCCCGTACGTCGTAACACTATAATGACCTTTGCTAATTGTCACATGTGCGCCGCATTCGCGATTGTTGCCGACGCCTGTTTGCAGTTGAGCCCACTACAGTTGTTATACATATCGAAAAACCGATAAACTTTTAGGCGAAAAAGGCACTATTCCAGGCCCATTTTTGATTTTTTTTTTTGCGATATTAGGTAAAAACAGAAGCTTCTTATCCTAGGAAAAATAAAATGGGAAATCTTTCAAAGGTGGCACACTACCTTTAACTTTGGTGCCTTGGAAGTTGGAACTAGGGTTAGATAGGTTTGCGCCCGTCCTCAACTCTGCCACCCTGGAAGCTAGGTAGGTTTGCTTCGGCCCCCGCATTTGAAAAGAAGGGAGGTGCCCCGTCACTAACTCTGTTCCCCTGGAAGGTCAGGTAGATACCGTCCCTGCCCCGCCGCTACCTCCTTGGCCCCTGCCCGTGCGCTAGCCGTGGATAAGTGGATGCTCTCTCTCCTTTGGCTCACAAGGTTTGTGTTTTCTCATCTCATTGGGTCCCTTCCTTTCGTGTTATTTCCAGTGTGTTTTTTTTTGTCAACATCCAATAGACTCTTCTGTTCTCCCTCCCTCTCTCCGACGCTCATCACTGAATATCTTTTTTCTCCTCTCACATGTCTTAGTGTGTCACCCTTGCTCGTCTTCTATCCCCTCAGTCCATTTCTCCTCCCTTCGAACACTTCCCTCTACCTACCATTCACTTAGCTGTTTTCTTTTTCAGTCTTCTCTGTCCATTGCTTTTATCCTTGTTTATAACCCCTTTTCTTTTCACTCTCCCCCTCTCCCCCTCCCCCATCGCGTCACCGTGACAGATGTTTGCCCCGACCGTCACACCAGCTGTGTGACGGTCCGTCACAGGCGTGACGCTGCTGTCACGCGGCGGGCGTTACGCACACCTGCCCCCTGTGTCACGTGACGTGACCTGTCCGTGTAAGCAGAGGGAGAGGGAGGGAGAGAGTCATGACTCAGATGTGTGGTAGGTAATTGTTGAGAAACACTTGATGTACACATGTGTTGGCGGGTGTTGTACTTGGTGTGCATATGTGTATGTGTCTGTGAGTATATACGAGTATGCTTTTGAACATATGTGTTAAGTTACCGTGGTGCCCCTTGATTTTGCAGATACGTTTGGTTAAAGCGTAAAAAGTTTCTTAGAATTTAGTCATGCCAAGGGCATACAAGGGCCAAGGGCCCAAGGCTATGTCCAGGGCCACATAGACGGTCCCATAAACGTTTCATTGATGTTATCGTAGGTATTACTTGGTGATGATGTTTGCAGTATGCCTGCCGTAGATTGGAAATTAGAAGTCATGTTGTGTTCATAGGGACACTGTCTTATCAACTATTTAGGAGTAACGGTTTGCTGTCGACGTGCCCTGATATAATAACGATTCTTCTCTTCTAAATAAGGAACAAGCCCTAATGTTTCGGCGACACTCTACCTCATACTTATCAACCTCTCCTTCTCTCCACAGGGACTCTGGATTCAGCGGCGAGCGTGACACCATAGCCGCGCTTCGTTCGCGCCAAATTGCCGTTCCCGCCAGCGCCAAAACATCTCCGCCTCTGCCCGGAGACGACGAGCCGACGGTGGCGCCACCGCCAGAGGCTGCGACCGGCGAGGGAACTACTTCACCAGCCTCGCCCGGAGTATCGGCCATGCCAGTTTCGGAGGTGGCAGGCGTGACACCAGTGTCACCAATCGTGTCACCAGTGTCACATGTGTCACCAATAGTGTCACCAATGTCACCAGGCTCGGACTCAGGACTGAAGAGCGCTGAGGGTGGCTCACGATGGCACGATGCTATCCATAGTGGCACCAGTGGAAACTCAACCAGTGGTGTCGGCACCAGTGTCGGCCTGGGTATCAGCAGTGGCACCAGTGTGGGACACGTCACCAGTGGTGGTGCGCATGGCACCAGTGGTGTCAGTGTCAGTGCCGGTGGGTCAACCGCTCCCTGGGCGGACGGGGATGAACTACTAGGTCTTCTAGACGCTATAGCTAATCGTGGGCGAATACTGAAAGACGAAAACCGTCAACTAGCTGAAGTTCTAAGCCATACCGAACTGAGCCATCACACTGATCATGATCTTGATCAAGATCTAGATCATGAGCAAGAGATACATCAAGATCACATCGGCGACGGAGATGGAAATGTTACGTACCGGTGTAGATATTGTGAGAGACCTTTCAACGGACATGCAGCTACAGTAGATCAAACGAGAAGTGTCGCAAGAGACCCTGTGACTGATGCGTTGAATATGAACATTCAGATGGGAGGACAAACTGGCATTACGGGAGGACAGAGTCCTCTTCTAGGAGGTCAAAGTCCTCTCCTAGGAGGACAGAGTCCTCTCCTAGGAGGTCAGAGTCCCCTCTTAGGAGGCCAAAGTCCGCTAGGAGGACACAACCCGCTTCTGGGAGGACACAACCCTCTCCTGGGAGGACAATACGGCGCGACACAATCACCACTCCTTGGAGGACAGTATGGAGAAAATGGAGGACATTTTGGAGGACTGGGAGGACCGTACCACCATAGTCCTCATGTCGGACAGTCGCCGCTGCTGCATGGGAGGACGAACCCACTGAGGAGGTAAGGAGACCGGTGGGGGAGGAGGGGAGAAGAAAGGAGGGAGGGAGGGAAATAGGAAGTAGTAGAAAAGTAACCTTTGGAGGGATTGAGGAAGAAAAAAGGGAGGGAGGGATAGTTGGAGTGAGTGAGTGAGTGAGTGAGTGAGTGAGTGAGTGAGTGAGTGAGTGAGTGAGTGAGTGAGTGAGTGAGTGAGTTAGTTAGTTGAGATTGAGTGAGGGAAAGAGGGAAAGGGAGGAGAGAGGAAATATGGAGTCAGGGAGGAAGAGATAAACGGGGGGAGTAAGTGAAACGAAGAGAGGGAGGGAGACAGGTAGAGGACGGGATGTGATGGGAGCGGTCACGCTTCCTCTTTCCTGCGTAACAAGCCACTGTGACGGAATGATGACTGATGGTTTATTTGATCGCTTTGTGGTTCCGATCGTGGGATAGTGGGTCTGTTTGTCTGTTTTTTTTTTCTCTCTCTCTCTCTCTCTCTCTCTCTCTCTCTCTCTCTCTCTCTCTCTCTCTCTCTCTCTCTCTCTCTCTCTCTCTCTCTCTCTCCTTCTCCCTCTCTTTATCTCTCTCTCCCTCTCCCTCTCCCTCTCCCTCTCCCTCTCCCTTCTCTCGCCGAGTTTACTTACCTTGAGAATATTGTCATTCATATATAGGTACCCGTTATCTTCGCCTTGCTCCCAGCCTACCGTTAGCACGACTCAGCACGACTACTCGTGTTGGAAAAAAGACATCCACTCGTCACAAATCTGTGGCCTCATCTCGTGACTGTGTCACGGTGTGCTCCTCGTGATTCCGTGACCGTGACGGCTTTCCGTGACGGATGAACGCTGTGTGACGGGCAGTGTTATGTCTTCTTTCGTCATGTTAAGTGACGGTTAGGTATGGTTTAGTATGTTGTGTTTGTTGTGGTGATCGCTTATTTAGTTTTGTGATTTATGTCGTGGTTTGTGATTTGCTGAGCTTCATGTTGGTAGTTCCTCTGACTGTACTTGACTTCCAAAAAGCGGCACGTCTAGTGGTTTGGCCATATCATTGTGTTGGTTGGCCGGACTTCTAAAAACTGGTATCTTTAGTGGCTCGGCTGTCATAACTGTAGGTAATCGCTGGGTCAGTGTGGACTGTGGATTGTGCTGTCCCGAAAACCAGCAGTTCGGCCAGCACAACTGTTCGGTGGACCGGCTCACGAAAACTGGCATCTCTTTTGACCCAGCCATCATAGCTATTCAAATGTACAGAGGGGACAGACTCCCGAAAACTGGCATCTCTACTGGTTCGGTCATCATAATTCATAACTGCGCTCAGTAGGCGAACTCCCGAAAACTGACATCTCTAGTGGTTCGGTTCCCATTGCTGTGCTCGGCCTGTGAATCCCGAAAACTGGCATCTCTATGTAGTGGTTCGGTTCCCATTGCTGTGCTCGGCCTGTGAACTCCCGAAAAGCTGGCATCTCTAGTGGTTCGGTCATCATAACTGCGCTCAGTGGGCTAACTCCCGAAAACTGGCATATCCAGTAGTTTGGTTCTCATAGCTGTGCTCGCTCGGTGGCTAGGTGGGTCAGAGCCGCCAGCAGCCCAGAAAATTGGCCCATTGTCACCGGAACGCGCCCTGCGTACTTATGAGTTTGATATCCGCTGGTAAAGGTAGGTATAGACAGTTACCTTGCCGCGTCGTAAGGACAGATTTAGCATTCGGTACTGTCAGTACTGAGAACAAACAATGACCCTCTGAGCCTCAGAGCCTCTATGCAAGACCAAATCGGCATGCTTTTCATGACTTTCGCGGATTCGGTTTCATTGGCCAAGCTGCATTTTGTCGTCCATAGCGTTATCTTTACCTATGAAACAATAACATGGCTAATTTGTTTCCAATTTCTTTCTTTATCATTTGCCATTCTTCTCCATAGATCCCTTACACTTAGTTATTCCTTCCCCTGATATGATGTCTCTGGCTCTGCCTTAGCCTCAAGCGTCTGAGCCGCGGTTGAACCACCCTACTGTTAACGCCAGACCCCTTGAGACCCTAATTTTTCGCGATTATTTTTTAATGCATGGAAGGATTTCAACCAAACTCAGGACATGGCCGTTTCAAAACCTGCCGAAACTTTTACAATTTAGATATTTTGTCGCCATTTCAATATTTCAGGCACTTCTCATTGACTCGTAATGTTAAATTTCGAGCAAGATTTTCACCCGGTGTGTAGAGGCTATCACCAGTCAGTCTGTGATACGTTATGACGTCACAGCTAAGCCCCGCCTCTGTGGTCTTGGCCTGCGGCGGTTTCGGGCCGGCGCGCGGTCACTCGCGCTGTGGCGGGGAGCGGGGACGGTCGAGCGGTGCCGAAAGCCCGCGGAGTTGTGCGTAACGTCTTGTCTGACAGTGCCCAAAGAGCGACATGATGACTGAGGAGCCATAAATGCTCAATGCGCATTGCTTGTTCCTACAATGCTGATAGGTTCGCTGACGGCTGATATTTGTTTTATTTTTCATAAGCTGCAAATGACTGGCAGATGGCATATACCTGACATAAGGTTAGGAAATATTCACCTGTATTTAAAGCCTATGGCGTTGCAGATAATGTGATAGGCCTAATGGGATGTCGGATGTCATCAAGTAGTTGCTGATTTGTACATCGCTATGCAACCATCGAACAACGCAATAATTAATTAATTGCCTTCGCTACACATCATAAGGCTCGTTCGTATTTCAAACATACCTATATCCTACATCGAACATCGTATAATTGTTAGGAATCTTTAACGTTTGTTCGAAGCATGTGTGAGTAGTAGGTTGAGGAGTGATGGCCCTCTTGGTCCTATATACGAGAGTCAACAAGAACCTAACATTTACTTGACCGTCTGCTGCAATTGATACATAGCACGTGAAGCGTCAGCGAAATTCATAGTCCTTTACAGATGGCAGGGGTGTCGTTTGTACAGAGGTCGCTGATGGGCACGGGTCAATGCCGCAGTCGTGGGCGGAGCCTAATGTCATATGACGCCTATGCAAGCCTCTATCCAGGATGTAAAAACAGTTAACATTACGAGTCAATGACAAGTGCCACAAATATTTAAGTGACAACAAAACGTATTTGAAGAAAAAGTTTCGGCAGGTCTTGAAACAGCTATATCCTAAATATGGTTGAAATTCTTCCACGCATTAAAAAATAATCGCGAAAAAATTAGGGTCTCAAGGGGTCTGGCGTTAACAGTAATTTACCGGAACTGCGGTCCATCGGGTGCTCTCTGCGTTAGCTCTCTATTCCTCTGTACGACTGGGGAATTATTAACGAGACGATGCACTTGGCTGGCTTGCGCGCTAGTGGGAGGGTGGAGACATATTGTCAACGGTCTCGTTGGTGTGTATAGCTACCTATAGGTACTGTGATCTCTTGTGTAGACCTGTGGTAAGCACGCATTTATATCACCATCACTTCGTGAGTGTTGTGTGGTGTTATTGTTTCGTGAGTAGATCGATTAAAATCAACCGGCGCATAGGCGTAGGAACGTTTTCGAAAGTGGGGGGGCCAGGGTCCCAGAGGTCCAAAACCTAACCTACCCCCAAAATCCGATTTCTCCTCGGATTTCGGTCACTTTGTTTTCGCAAACATGCTCAGAGGTAAAAAAAAAATCGAGACAAAAAAAGAAAAAAAAATTGGTTGAAATTTCAGGGAGTCTCCCGTCCATAAACTCAAACTGATGGACGCGTTTCCCTGTCCTCCGCAGCCGTTGGCACCCATGCAAATTCCAGAGGCATCCAGCAACTTTTTCATTACGAGCAAGCGTGAAACGTGCAAAGCGAGTCTTTTCAATATACCTATAAAAATCAGCATGAACGGCCCAGCTAGGCTCAGCCAGGCCTATAACGTTTTTAAGAGGTTTTATATCAGCGACCACTGCAACTGGGCTGACTGACTATCACTTATCAGAGGCCGGTGTGGGACTTTTAGACGGTCTGGGTCTTCAGAGGCCAGTTTAACCCTCCACGGCCCGGTCCTATAGGTTTTCTACATACGCGCTGGCCGAGGGGGTGGGGGGCGGGTACGACCCCCCTCGCCGTTTCGCCCCAGGTGGAGCTAGCGCGTCGCGGTAAAACGAGCGTGTGCGCCGTTACGAGACGCAGAGATCGATACCCGATTTTATGGTCCTAGGTCAACCGGTGACCTCTGACACCGTTCCGTGCTTCTATCCTCAGGATACTGAAATCCTTCTCCTCCACACCGCAACCCCCTCCGGGCTGGACAGGCAACTTTATCTCATGCGGGCTGCTCCCTTGGAGCGGCACCGCTGCTCCCGAGGGAGCGCACCCCGTAGCCGGGTGCAGTGAGTGCCTTGGGGCTGGGTGGCCTGTCCTCTGGACGGGCTCAGCCCCGGCGACTCACTAGGGTGCCTGCCAGATCAATGTCTCCCCCTATATCCTATCATCCTTCCGGCTCTGAAATGGTCTCATTGGACCGAAAGGGCCTAACCCAACAAAACAAACAAAAACCGGTGACCTCTGAGGTCAGGTCAAGTGCCTCAAGGCACGGTTCCGTTTTTGGTGAATAACTTCGCAAAAAATGGCCGCAGAGCCGCGATTTTGCCAGCATCGTGTTCGCCTCTCTCAGGCGCGTCGAATGATATACTTTTTGTTTGGGTGAGGTAAACTTAGGGTGTTGACCTCGGGTCACGGTCAGGTCGGCGTCCCCAGGTCACGAAATTGGTCGAAGGAGGTCATGTCGCATATCATTCGATTCAGCAGGTCTTCTTGAGTCCATAGGTGGCTTTCCCGACTCGCTAGCTCAATTTGATCGGTACCTAGTTATTGACGAAAAACTAATAAGACCCTTATAACTTCATAAATGACGTCGCGCAAGGTCAATATTGCAAAAGTGACGCATCGAACCTTGCAAGGAGTGCATGAAATCACGATTCGGTGTGCTTGAGATAGTTGGAGATCGATCGTTCCCGGCGCCAGAAAAAGTTTTCAGTTTATCCCCATTGACTTAGGTATACCTAATGGTGAGGTCACGAAAATGACATGACCTCATATGAACTTTAGGAAAAATCCGAGATATACATCATACAAGTTGAGAGACTCCTATTGGATACTAGATCCTCCAAGGTTCATTTCCCTGTGAAATCTCCTCTGGCAGTGAGGGCGTTGCGAAGATGCGACATCTGAAGACCGTGCAGAGGTTCACTTATGACCACATGGCTCAGTGACCTGATCTGACCCGAAAATGCGGTTGGTGTCAAAAGATCCCGTTTGATTCAAAGGTCAGGTATGCCAAGCTTCAGCTCTCTATCGCCGGCGTGTTCGGAGCTATCGCGAAAAAAAACCTATGGAGGGGCGGCACCCGCCCCCCCCCCCCGGCCGGCGAGGGTTAAGGCCCTCAGAGACCAGTACAGGGCCTGCAAAGGGCAGGATGAGACCTTAAGATGCCGACTTGGGCCATCAGAGGCTAATGTGGGTCCTTACAGGCCAGTATGGGCCCTCAGAGGTCAGTGTGGGACCCTAAAATGCCGGCATGGGCCGGTGTTGGACCCCAGAGGCCAGCAGAAGACCCTCAAAAACCAAGATGGGCCTCAGAGGCCAGCATCGGGTCTTCAGAATCCAGTGCAAGGCCCTCAGAGACTAATGCGTGTCCTTACAGGCCAGCATGGGCCCTTAGAGGTCAGTGTGGGGCCGTAACAGACCGGCATGGGCGGGACTTGGAACCTAGAGACCAGCGGAGGGCCCTCATAGGCCAAGGTGAGCCCTCAGAGGCCGATGCGGACCCTTGGAGACGGGCATCGGATCTCCGGAATCCAGTGCGGGGCCCTTAGAGGTCAATGTGGGACCCTAAAATACCGGCATGGGCCGGTGTTGGAACCCAGAAACCAGCAGAAGGCCCTCAAAAACCAAGATGGGCCTCAGGGGCCGGCATCAGGTCTTCAGAATCCCGTGCAAGGCCTCATAGGCTAATGTGGGTCCTTACAGGTCAGCATGGGCCCTTAGAGGTCAGTGTGGGGCCCTAAAAGACCGGCATGGGCCGGCGTTGGACCCCTCAGGCCAAGGTGGACCCTCAGAGGCCGATGCGGACCCTTAGAGGCCGGCATCGGGTCTTCAGAATTCAGTGCGGGGCCCTCAAAGGCACCTAAAGGCTAGTCTTGGGACCCCAGAGACAGAAATGAGGCCACCAGAGGCCGGTGTGAGGCCCTCAGACGCCGGCTGGGCCCTTGAGGCCGGTTTAGGGGCCCTCAAATGAGGTCAATGTGGGTTCTCAGCGGTCAATGTGGGCGCTTGACCGCCACTGAAGGGCCCTCCGAGATCAGTGTAGGACCCTCAAAGACTGGTTTGGGAGCTGTTAATAGCTAGCGTGGGATTCTTGAGTCTCGTGACAATCGAATAAGGGCCAGAGCCCCATACGCCCATGGGAGCCCATTGGTTGTTTGGGGGGGGCCAAATGATATGACGGCCCCCTGATTAGCCTTTGGAGGGGGGAAGGGCATGACCCTGATCCCCCTCTGCGACCGCCACTGCACTGAAAGTGGAAGGGGGAGGGACAGAAACAGACATTGCTGGCCCCCAGCCTGTTTGAACCGAGGCTGAGGCACGGTCACCCTGGCCCCCAGCTAGTACGCCTTTGACGAACTATGCCGACCCCAAGCAGATAAGGTCAAGCGTTGGTCGTTTGTATACGCATTCTCCTGCACCGTGCTAGTATTGTCTTAGTATTGCCTATACCTTTTTAGTGCTCGCTGTCCCGCGCCTCGTATTCAACAAAATGCTGTCACCAGGACTCACAGTCTTGTCTCTGATATGGTTTCCTTCATTGAGTGAAGGAAATTGCGGTCAATAACGCTGTAAAAACAAAAAGGAATCCTCATTAAAGGGCAAGCTGAATAGTTATCAAGTTACCAGGTGGTAGGTTAGGTACAGACAGACACTTAAGTCAGCAAAAAGTGGGGGGGCCAGTTAACATTGCTGGCCCCCCCACCTCCGAAAGTGGGGGGGCCATGGCCCCCCCGGCCCCCCCTGTTCCTACGCCTATGAACCGGCGAACCGTCTTAATAGAAGTCGTGATTAGTCTGTCAGTGTCGGACATCTTCAAGCATTTTTTTTTTCATTTGGATCGTCTTAGGTTTATAAGTTCTACCTATACCTACACATTAGCTACACACTGAGCAGTGCGCCTGAAGTTTTTTTTTTTTTTTGTCGTTTATGCCTGATGTGTACTCGGGTCTAAAGTTGTTGTTGTCTGACCCATGCGTTATTTGGCATTGTGTCCCTCGTGTTTGTAGATGTGTTTGTGTAAGTGTTTGATGGCTATTTGGTGTCGTTTTTTTCTTCTTCCTACTAATCGTGGAAAAAACTGAAGGGCACCTTGTCTGTGATGGCACATTTTTTTGGCCTGGATGTTTAATGGTATGGTTGACCATGTTCCTCTTTCTCTCCTTGTTTCTCTCTCTCTCTCTCTCTCTCTCTCTCTCTCTCTCTCTCTCTCTCTCTCTCTCTCTCTCTCTCTCTCTCTCTCTCTCTCTCTCTCTCTCTCTCTCCCTCTCTCCCTCCCCCTCCCCCACCTCTCTCTAACCCCCACCCCTCTCTCTCTCTCTCCCACAGGTCACCGGCCGTCAACCATCTCCACCACTCTCCCCCCGGTGGAGCCGCCTCCTCAACTCTACCTCCCCCCACCGACCCCGGCTGTCCTCTCAGTCTGCCAGTACTGAGACCTAGGGAGGAGTATCTGTCGGCTCTGACGGAGGTGGAGAGACTCATGCAGGAGAGGGATCTGCTCATGGATCGGCTGCTCGGCATGGAATTGGTAAGGATTTTGGGGGAATGGGTGGAATGGAATGGGTGGGGATTGATGTGTGGAGGATGGAATGGGAGCCGCGGGGTGGATGGTTGTGAAATGCTAACTGTGTAGGGGTATATGTAGGGTATATGTATGTAGAGGTATAACTGTGGAGAGAGGTGTAGGCTAGACCCCGGGATGGGTTGTGGGTGGTCAAATGGAGCGGAAGATTTGGTTTGGTGGTTTTGAATGCTTGCGGTGGAATGAATGGGATGGTTGGGTGTGCTGGAATGTGTGTGTGGGAAATGGGTGAGATGGAATGAAGGACAGGGAGAAATGATTGTATGGAATGTGTAGGTGAAACGTAACGAGTGATGCAGGTTGGTAGGTCCTGTGAGGGGTCGAATGAGTCGACGAAATGTTAGGAATGGGAGCCATATGAGTGTCTGGAATGAATCAATGGCGTTTTCTTATACCTACCCTATATAATAATTTTGGCCGCAACAACCAAACCACTAAACGGTTTTCAGTGTATAACCCATCAAGCCATATCTGGCAATATTATACACACATTATATCCTAACCGCTGTATTTTTTCGTCTAACATTCCACCCATGTCCTTGTGCGAGAAATATAATACCCTATGATTGCGCATTCACATACAATCACTGCGACTGCCTCGAACGACCGTGGGAATTTTGTGCGGTATTTTCTCATGGGAACCCGCGCGCCTGATGTTGAATATGGGAATGGTTCAGCCACGACGGAAGCGGCGGTGGGGGGTTTTGGTAACGGGTGAGTGGGTGGAGAGAGGGTGAGGAGAGAGAGAGAGAGAGAGAGAGAGAGAGGGGGGGGGGGAGAGAGAGAGAGAGAGAGAGAGAGAGGGGGGAGAGAGAAATGAGAGGGAGAGGTTGGTGGCAGTCGATCGGATCAATGAATGGGAAGATACGAATGATATGAAGCGGCATTGGCTTATGATGAAATGAGCAACTCCTGAAAATCTTGAAGTTCCTTGCGGCGATCAGCCAGTCGGAATATTATATAATCATCATGGTTTGGGCGTCTTCAGTATAAGGGCCTTATGACTACGAACCGAGCAGAGGCATTGTTCTTGTCCTCATCGTCATTTTTTTTTTTTTTGCATCATTTTGCATCCTCTGCTTCTACGGATCTTGTGTATAGCTTGTATACGGATATTGCATTCCTAATTTCCTTTACGGATCTTGTATGGGTGCCGCCCTCTAAATTTCACGGTAGCCATGGGCACTACCTTGAGGAGTAGCCCAGGAGGGTGGCCACTCCGCACAAAAACATGGCGTCATCCCCCACCAATGACATCACCACCACTGATGACGTCACCCACCACCAGTGACGTCACGCTTCCGTGCACCGTCCGTCCTTGGTCGGGTACCGCTTGAGCGCCCACCTACCCTCACTTGTCGGTGTTGGCTGGCTGGCGGGAGCTGTATGCCGTCAGTCTCAGGAGTATAGCTAGTGTTGAGTGGTTGGCGCGGGTGCCTAGTGGTGGGGACTAGTGCTGGTGACTCGATAGTGGTGGCTACTCTAGTGTCGGGTGACTAGTGCTTGGTGCCCACCTTTGGTGCGTATGTCGTTTTGCTAAGTGCTAGTGCCTGACACGGGTGTCTAGTGCTGGTGCTTGACGCTGGTGCCCGCGGCAAGCACTGGTGTCTATCAGAGGTGCTTAGTGTTGGTGCCAAGTAATGGAGCCCGACTCTCTGATGGTGTCTATCGGATATATCGCTCTGGCTCGAACTGAATCCTGGCTTCTGTGGGTACTTGTGTCAGACTGAAAGACTTCTATCACCGTCCTTTACCACTGGACCAACACTGGACCAGCTTCGGACCAACATCGAACCAACATTGGACCAACATCGGACCAGCTTCGGACCAACATCGGACCACGGTCGGACCAACATTGAATCACCTTGGACAAACACTGGACCAGCTTCGGACCAACATTGAACCAGCTTCGGACCAACATCGGACCAACATTGGATCACAAAACCCATTCACAGGCCCCCATTCGACTGGTCACTGTTAGCCATTGAGGCCACGGTCAACAGTGAAACTACAGAGCTCGGTGGGAGAGGGAGCGTTTGCTCTGTGGTGTACGATGTGATGTGTGTTGAGAGTGGAGAGATGGGAAGCTGTGGTAAAGAAGAGAGAAGAGATGAAACAAGAGTGGAATCGGAAAGGTGAATAGATTGAATGAGTGAGTAGCGGAAGCTGGAATTGGTTGAGGTGAGAGGATTATGTAAGAAGTGGCGAGGAGTTCCCTCGTTGGTGAGAATCTGACAAGTTTTTGAGTGAATTTGAAAGTGATTATCCCATGATCATCTGAAACTAATGTCTAGCGATTAGCTCGACTCTGTATTTGGCTCATTGCTGAAGTAACATGCTTAGCACGACAAGAAAGCTGCATTGGAGTTATAGTGCCGAAACCGCGTAGTACATCTCTGTGCAAGTGCATCTGAACCTGCGATTGATGCAACGGGCGACATAGTGATGACGTCATCTTCAGACTCTGTGTGCTTTTTAACTCAGAAAAGCAGCGCAACTGAGTCGATGTTCCTGTGTTCATGCCGTCATTTCGAAGCTGTGGATACTGATCAAGCGACAGCGTCCATTCCAGCTTCCTAAATGTATAGCATGGTGAGTGGGTTTCAGGCGATTTCAATCGAACTTCTTCCTATATAAAGAATTTCGAAGAATTTCCTATACCTACTTATAAGTATAGGGTGTTCACTAAAATTGACACAAACTTTGAATGGCTGCATATCAAAAGTGAAGCAAGCTATTACGATGCAACTTAGCATAGAGATAAAAGGGACGTTTTTATCATTACCGAGCATAAAATTTCACGGATGTAATGAAAACAGTGGCGTTGGAGGTCGTTTTAAACAAGGACTACCAAAAGCCCATTGGCAGGCTTACCCAAAATAGCACGTCAATGGGAGAGTTTGGCACGTACAAATGCCAAATGAAAACTTAAAGTGTCAAAATTAGTTACATACCGTACAGTGGGACGAAAGTTCTAGAGGGTGTGGGAGTCCGAAAAGCTGAAGTGGTGTAATTGTGAAGATATTGACCTGAGGAAGGGTCGGGGCCCCGAAAATGCACGTGGAGGGGCTTTTTGACACCTCACGGCGCAGTGCTGCTGATCAGTAAGGCATTAACTGTGCCTAAGCGAAGAAGATATAGCACACCTGAGACTAGGCTGAGTTACAACCGGCGCAAATGATTTCTCGAAGCGACTGGGAACAACATAAGGCCAGAGAAGTAAATATGTTATGGTCAAAAAAGGGACAAAAAATGCAGAAAAAAGTTAAACTATTTAAGGTAGAAAAGTCATGTTTTTAGTTAACCCGCGCCCGGCTGGGGGTCCTGGATTTCCACGCCCTGCTGGGGGGGGGGGGTGTTTGAACACCCCCCCCCCCCTTCTAACTCGGCTCCTGGGCCACGTAGCGATACGCGGAAGGCGGCGTTCGAAAGAGCGCTAAAAATAATGACGAAATCACTTCGGTCACTTTTTTGGTCAGGTCATAGGTCAGGTCACCAGAGGTCATTGAAGGCAAAATTTCGCCGATTTTCAGGTCGAATGTCGACAATTTCCAAGAAGCCAACGCATAACTCGGGAACCAATAGAGCTACAGCGCCGCGGAAAAGCGCATTCGATAGCCCTATTAACGCTCTTTCTGAGTAATTCTATCAGATTTGACCTATCGTCAACGGTTTTGCCTGCAGGGGGCAAAAACTGCCAAAATAGCCGATTTTTTCGAAAACAGTTTTTCTGCAATAACTTTTGACCCAGGCCTTGCACGAGCTTACTTTTACCGGCATCGTGTTCCTCTCGTCAAGACGCATCGAATGAACTGTAACTTGACCTTGAAAGGTCAACTTGAAAATTTGACCTCAGGTCAAGGTCATGACCTGACCGGAAAGGGTCATGTTGCATATCAGTCGATCCATATCGTCGAGCTGAACACATCCAAGGCGTTTTCATCGCTCTAGCATGCCTCTATCAAAAGTTATTCGCGAAAAACTGTTAGATACCATCCGTGACCTAAGATGACCTCAGGGGCATACACAGGGGTCACAGATACCATTTTCATGTTCAGTGTGTCTTAGTTACTTGTTATTCAGTGTTTGGGAGTGGTTATAATGGCTTTCATCCAAAAAAAGCGCCTTTCAGTTTTCTCCCATTGACTCATAATAGGGAGGTCGCAAAATTGACCTGACCTTAGGTCATCGATATCAAAATTCTGAGATATACATTTTGTACATGCTATTGCTCTTAGCAATCGCTGAAAGTTTCAAAGCGATCGGTCACTCGGTGTAGCTATGGCAGACATTGAAACTTTTTATGAGGTGAGGTCACTTCAAGTGACCTGGTGACCTGACCTTGAATGACCTTGGTCTGAAATTTTCAGAACATGTGTAGAATTGATGTGTGATAAGGTATACCAAAAACGGCGGCGCTCCGCGCCGCCGTTTTTGAGATATTCGCGAAAAACCACAGGGGGGGTGTTCAAACACCCCCCCCCAGCAGGGCGCGGGTTAAAGGGCGACAATTAACTAGACAATGGAGTGTTCTGTTGTGATGTGATCGATGATACAAGGGCTAACGTCCATTTAAGTGTCAGCATGCAAGCTAACGCTGGATGCCGTGGTGTATGTGTTATTTCAGAGAATATCATCAGTTCGACTTTATTCCTCCAGACTGGTCCTTTACAATATGATACTTTTTGAGCCAAGTGTATTATTAGGCACTAGAGGTTCATGCAGAGCAACATATGTAACCAGAAGGTGATTTTCTGGTCCGACCTCGCGCCAGCACACTAACCAAGGGGTGCCTTGAGGGCCCCGGCCGATGTAAAAATTCCCATTGGAACGAGACCCGATAAGCCATTTTCCACGCCTGAAATTTAACAAATGAGTATCTAATGTGATTTGCCTAAGGTTATAACGTATGTTTGTGTCTTTCGATTTCATACAAAATATCAACTGGTTGCTCATTACCACCATCAACTGGCCAACATCACGGTCCACTGGTGCCAGAGCTTGTGACAACACTTCCAAGGAAATGTCCAAGAAATGACCTATGGGGATCAGGCAAATCTGTTGACGCTCTAGGGCTTGCAGCAGATGCAATGTGCATTACAACAATGCCTCGTTTGTTTAAATCGGTACATTTTTACCGAAGATACAGCCTGCTAAACTTTGTCTCAATTTTTAGTGAACACCCATTAGGTATCATAGCGATTAGATCATATTGATGTCAAAAAATAAATTTTTGACGTATCCAGAGTCAGAAAAGCTGGGAGGAAAGGGAGAGGGTGAATGGTACCGTACGATCACAGCCTCTGTACTGGATGGGGAGGGGTGATGGGGGTGCGCTTACCCCCCCCCCCCCCGCCCTCTCCCCCTCCTGCGTCCTTCACGGTCGGTTACACGGCTACCTTGAACTGAACCGTGCCGGTCAGCGGGCGACACAGGGAGGTCGTTACCTAGTCCTTACCTGTCGTTACCTAGTCGTTACTTGTCGTTACCTGTCGTTACCTAGTCGTTACCTAGTCGTTACCTAGTCGTTACCTAGTCGTTACCTGTCGTTACCTAGTCGTTATTTGACGTTACCTGTCGTTACCTAGTCGTTACTTGATGCTTGATCGTTTCTGGTCGTTACCTATGGTTACTTGTTACATGGTCTTTATACCTATGATCGTTATTTTGTCGTTGTCCATTTGTCGTTTGTAGTTCAATAGTCGAGAAGCTGCTTAGCTATGACTTCTTTTGGTTTCCAATGGTTCAGCCGATTGTTCAATGCGATCGACCTCCAATAATCGAGCTATAGGTGAGACTCAGCTCCCACAGTAAATATGCCGGTTAGCTCTAGAATACAATGCCCACCCTGATCCCCCCCCCCCCTATAACTTCAGACGAAGTTGGCCGGTGAAGCGTGAAGACCTCCCTTTGTTACTCACACAACTCTGTTCCTTGATTAGCACCTGAGCTAGTTTTTAGACCAGTGACGTCAAAATACAGTATTGTTTTTGTGGTGAATGTCGTGTCACGGCGTAACACCATTGTTCGTAATTACTTTTTGTTGGCGTGCGCTGGGTTTTGTCGATGTATGGGACGTTTTTTATTTCTGATTTATAGTGCTGAGGCCAGTTTCACCAATAAAAAACAGACGGCTGCGATTATTTTTTGACAAAACGATAGTCTATAAATGCTATTTACCGGTGAAAAAAGTAATTGCTGACCAAATAATATAGCGCTTGAAAGCTACGTTATTACATTTTTCAGCGATTAGTATTTTTAGCAGTAAATGACATTTTGAGACTATCGTTTTGTCAAAAAATAATCGCAGCCGTCTGTTTTTTATTGGTGAAACTGGCCTCTGGATAATTATTTTGTGATCATCTGTGAACAAAGAATCTGTGCTGAAAGTGTCTTTTATTTTCTCGATGTCTTGGTTCGAAGACTCTACATGACATACCAAGTCAGAGGTCTCGTGTTTTATTGATCTGGCTCGGTATACCTACCGATTGAATGCCTCTCAGCTCGCCAGTTGGCAATATAATTGTAGTCAGACAGACTAGTTCACTTTTCGCCCCCCCCCCCCCCCCCCAGATTGGTGCAGAGACGCAGTGTAGTCTTTCACTAGCTCCCTTTTTACTCCTCAGATGACAGCAAAAAGTCACGACGCTGCCCCCCCCCCCCCCTCCTTATGAGTTTTGCGAACGATCACAGTCGCAGTGCTACCCCTCAACTAACTCCCTTCTCGCTTCCTGGATGTCGGCACACTCAGTCTCTCACTAACTCGCCTTCCTCCCGACAGGTGGCAGTGCGGTCGCAGGGCCAGGCGGCCAGTCTCCAAACGCGCCTTCAAATGGTCTCCGCCGCCAATGAAGAGCTCCGCCGTGAACTACGCCTGGCATCTTCATCGAGATGTGAAGTGGATGCGAGAATCCATGACATGCACCAACAGTTTGTGAGATCCAGGAGACTGCAACCCTCGCCTGCTCCTGCCCCTGCCCCTGCAAGGTCGACTCCTGATTTGAGGCTGCCGTCAAGGATACCACAACCGCTTTCGCTTCGGCGAAGAGTCGATACGACGTGCGAGAAAAGCAAGGTAGAGGAGAAAGAGAAGACGGTGGAGAGAGCGAAAACGATGGAAGAGAGGGGGAGAGGAACGGAGAGAGCGAAAACAGCGGAGGAGAGAGTGAGAGGGGCAGAAAAAGACAGAGTAGCGGAGTGCACTCGGCAGACCCAAACAGATTCTGCAGCGTATCTAGTCAACAGAGAAACCCAGACCGAAGTTCCACCGTCGCCACCAGCTGTTCTGGCGGTGAAAACGTCAGGAGCTCGTGTTGTACCTCCGGATCGGGCCCGTGTGGCGGGGATACTGAGAGAGATGGATCCACTGAAGCTACAGAGACAGCTGATCGGCATGCTGGTTGAAGCAGAGGTGAGTTGGGGTGTTAGAAGGGGTTAGAGAATAGGAGGTTCTATGGGGGGGGGGGGGTGGAACGTCGTTTTATGAGGCAGCTCCGAGTTGTTAGGCGCAGGGAAAGCATGACGTAACATTAGTGGAAAATGGGCATGGGATGCTAGAAATGTGGCGAAACACGGTATGGAGAAGGGAGACGATGTGAAATATTTGTGTCAAAAAGGGAAGTGCGGGCCGTGAATGTACGGAAATGCGAGACGTTGACTGGGGCAGAGTTGAGATGATCAAGGAACAGGTTCACTTACCGACTGGGAGACATTTTTCAATCTATGGATGTTACATGTATTTCAGAAGGTCAAGTAGAGTCTAGGAGATGTGTTTCACTGTTGAGCCCATGCAATGTCCTTGTACTAGCCCTCACTCTCCCCCCCCCCCCCACACACACACACACCGAAGAGGATATCGCTTGTACATAAATCCGGCTCCATGTAATGTGTAATTTGTTTTCCCCTGCCCCCTGTTCACGTAGCCCTAACCTGACCTGCCCCCCCCCCCTCCCCAGGTTCTCCGCAGCCAGCTGGCCGCCCTGGGTCGTGACCTGGGCTCAGGTCAGAGCCGGGTCACGGCCACCCCGCGTCGACAATCAGCCACCACTGCGGAGCTCAGCAGGCAGAATGAGGAGCTTAGGCTGCAGGTGGGAATACACGGGGGGTCGGTGGGTTGTGTATTGCAGCAAATGTGCTGACAATTGATATTGCACAATGCACCTTTGACGCTAAGAAGCATAACATATGGTCCAATTGTCCATTGTCGAACTGTGTAATCGCCTGATTGTTGATTGCAGAATTAATCATGGAGTCACTACCAGCGGAGCTGTACCTATCCATGAGATATTAGCGTAGCATGTCAAGCGGATATTGCTTTTAGCGTTTCTTTCGAACACCATCTGTTTTAGTGTATTTTCTTTGCTCTTTTTAAAGACTGCTGAGACGAAATACAGCTCAGTTTTCAGTGTCTTGCTGCTGTTTCAGATATCTCAATTGGTGTTATTGCTACAAACTGCCTGTAAGTCGGAAGTGTTTCAACATTTCCGCCAATGTTAAATATCCACACACAAAAAAAAACTGCCTCAGTCCCCGAGTCTATCAACTCATCCCCCTCTCTTCTCAGCTAACCCTAAATCTAGCTCTCTCCACTCTCTCCAAATCTAACTCTTCCCTCTTCCCACAGTTGGCTGAACGTCAAATCGAGCTCGAGGGGACCCGCGCCCGTCTGCGTCAATTGGAAACCCCCTCCACCCCCGCCACCCCTGCCTCGAGGGGCCGCTCTTCGGGTGCAGGTCGACCTTCAAGCCTCTCTGCCTCGCCTCACGATCGCAGCATAGGGCACAGTAGTATACCTGTGTTAGTCAGAGCTTCTAGCCCCGGGAGAAGAGGGAGGAGGTTGAGTGCTAGTGGGGTGGGGGATGGACCGAGGAGCAGGACTCCTAGTAGGGCGACGGGTGACGCTAGAAACGCTGATGTGAGGGCTGATGTGAGACCCGGACGAGGAAGAGGTAGTGGAATCCAGCGGCGCTCTGTACAAGACAGCTCAGGATCAGACCTTGCCACCGTGCGAGCGATGCGTCAATTGAGTTCATCACTTCGGCGTTCTACGCCCAACCTGAGTGGCTCACCACCGGGGGCTGGTCAGACTGATGAACAGGGAAGTCAGACAAGACTGACGGCTGGGGCAAACTATAGTACTGGAGGGAGAACCTCTGGACTGGCAGCTATCACTGGTCATCTGACGAGCTCTTCACCAAACCTCGCAGCTGCATCAACAAGTGTGGCCGGGAGGGTGAACACTCGTCTGCAGCCTCAACCCCCTACCGCGTGGGCGGCGCATAGCCCGTCACCAGCCTGGCAGCAAGATCCAAAAGTGAAGGTACGCGCGAGAGCCCTGTGGGAGCACTGGTTGAGAACTGAGGGACGTGGAACCAGTGGCACGGCGGCTAATCCTGTGTGATCTGGACCATGATCCTCGCATTTCTGCCACTGCCGTATCCCGCCTTCGTCTTATCCCGCCTTCGCCATTTTTCACGTCATTATCCCGCCTTATACCACCTTGTTTTGCATCCGCCTACAATTTTGTTCCTGCATTACCTACCCAAGTCATAGTAAATGAAACCATTTACCTGACCCACGATCACGTGATCTGAAATGATCGGCTGATCAACTGACCGGATCTGGATCGAACGTCCTGGCTGGCTGGTTACTAGCTAGCTGGCTGCTCATTTAGCCGACTGGTTGGAGTACTAGCTAGCTAGTTGGTTTACCACCTAGCTGGTTTGAGTACTAGCTAGCTGGTTGGATTACTAGCTGGTAGCTGACTTCCTGGCTGTTGCACTAACACCTTCTGTGTAAGTGTTGTCTGGAGGCTGTGTGGCATGACCTCGTACACTCTGCACTGGTGAAGGTCTGAAAAAGGGGACAGCTATGTTTGGTTTGTAATGGGAAAGATTGAAGCTGTTGCCATTGGGGAAGTTTTGGTTTTGCGATAGTAAGCCCCGTATCGTGACTTGGGGCTGTGGAGGATTGGGTTATGGGAAAGAAATGGGGTGAAAGTTTAGTAATGCTTCAATTTTTGTTAGTTAAAAGTCCGAAACTTCAAACTTCGAATGCCGAGGAGATGAATATTTATTTATGAGAGCGTTCTGATTTGTGTCTTCATTTACCATTTTATTCCCAGAAAATAATTTTTAGTTATTATATTTTGTCCAAAATTTATTTCAAAGTCGATGGATGGTTCCACAAAACGTTTCAACGGCCGTTCATGAGATGTTGGCTCGTCAAATTAAACGGGTTCATATCTTCTGGGGCTTGGTTTGCTTTGATGCTTCAAAAAGGACAAAATGCGTTTAATCAGTGGGGCATCGCTATTGAAGTCCATCGAGACGGATTATGCAGGGCTGCAAAGGATGCATGCTGCTGGATGCTCTTCATATTATAATCCCTGATAAATGTTTGCAGTTTCAAATGCACGGTTTTCTTAACGTTGGCATGTGTCTATTGCTTGAACGACTTAATTGAGTGTCTTTGCATGGACTTGCTTATTTGCACGATCTGTTAAAATGTTGGCTAAATAACGATTCATTAACCCTCGCCCGCACATGGGGGGGTGGTTGCCACCCCCCCCCCCCCCCCAGGCAGTCTTTCTGCTCTGCACTCAACATTTTTAGAGCTAGAAGGCTGATTTTTCGTATAGCTGCTCGTCTATCCTTTCTTGATGTCCACTGAAAATTTCAAGTTTCTGTGATTTTTGGTTTCGGAGATATGACCTTGTTTTTCAGGTCATGTCATGACCCAAATGGCCAATTCTCAACATCTTGCGTTTGCCATGGGCCTTGTGAGCTTTTGACACCCTGATTTCGGCCTTTTTTGCCAGTCTTACCTCCCACCTATCATGGAACATGTTGTTCGACGATGTTCAGGGGTCAAGGTCAGGGTCAAGGTCAACCTAGGTCATCTAAGATAATTGCGTTTTAGGCAAGCTGAATTTACTTTTTGTGAAGTTTTTTAACTGCATTTTTGGTAAAAGCTTCTCAGATCATGATTTCATGTGATATGGACCCAAAAACAATCGGTGCACACATCAGTATACACACAGACACACACAGACATACAAACACATATAATTGACCTTGACCTAACTTGACCTGAAATGACCTCAGCAGCAAAATTCTGGTCGGATAGTGTGACAAAGAGGTTCTAGCTGGCTTGGCACCAGAAAACAGCATCGTCATCGGTATTTGATAAGCAGCGCACTTGATATCCAACGGTGACCCAAAACAGCAACATTTTTTAGTTTGACCTGACCTGGAAGGTCAATGACTGACCTGAGAAGGTAAAACTGGGTATCATTGGATTCGTCTCTTCCCAAAGAATATTTTTGGTCTTTACTGCTAAGCTCTATCTCCAACAGGAACGAAATGGCGCGGGGGGGTGGCAACCACCCCCCCCCCCCCATGTGCGTTCTAGGATGGGAAAATGGCATGTGCGGGCGAGGGTTAAATAGCACGGTAACCTTCGTATTCACGCTGTGTTCACTAAACTTGTTCTTCCCATTGTGAAACCTATTTGCGTCACTTATAAAGACCATGATGTCTTACCTTGCCCTGGCCTTTGTCTTATCCCAACGCAGGTAAAACAAGACTGATGGGGAGAAATTCATCGTGATGGTACCTTTTGCGCCAGCACACAAACCTAAGGTCTGTTGGGTGTGTGACGGTGTTTTGAGCTATAATATGGAGTATGGACGCACTGTGTTTTATGGTTGTGGGTTTTGTGGTGGTGTTTGTCTTGGAGACTAGGAACCTACTTGGAGAGCGGGAGGGGTGTTTGTTTGGTTGTGTTTGTCAGTGAAAGGCGTTTGTCTGCGTGACGTTATTGTCCCGACGGCTTGTTGTTCTGTCCCTATCGTTCGGACCCAGATGTGTTTGTTTTGTTTCAGCTGTTTCCGGGATTTCCTTCGGGCTAGTCTGGTATCTGTCGCAGGCCGTTTTTTTTTTCTTCTTCTTCTTCTTTGCCGGATGAAATTCGTAAAACGACAGTGTTTGTCCCTGGAGTTTCGCAAAACGACTGTGTTTGTCCCTGCAGTTTGTAGGTTTGTTATGTCATACAGGAGTGAGGAGTCTTTCAGTATATTTTGCTTCATATGCTCAATAAGATAATATTTTGAGGGAAGAGTTTCATAGCAATTACAAAACTGGGGATCTGTGTTGTGTGTGTGTACGTACCTCCATGGAGGCACTCGTTATTCGTGATTTGTCAGTGGGCTGACGAATGCCCGTATATGGCCATGACTTTCCTAAGATACCTATAGACCCTTCCTTGTCCGCCTACCCGCATTTGAATGTGAAAAAAAAAACGGGAAACCTGCCCTAAGTCCTATGCATGTCTGCTTGGAGCATGTGAACGAATTATAACGACTGCACGCGACGTCCTAAATGCATGTGGCTGTCATAAACTCGCATGCTGAACTGAATACAGTGTCTTATTTGACTTTATACAATCCTGTTCTGTGCTTCTTGTATTAACCCTCGCATGTGTGCGGCGTTTGCCAGCTTCTAATGTGTAGGGGGGGGGGGTCGGTTGGACCCCCCCTTGCCGTTTGGCCCCTGATCGAGCTAGAGCTTCGCGGAAAAAACGAGCGTGTTGCCCGTGACGAGAGGAAGCCGCTGATACCCAATTTTAAGGTCCTAGGTCATTGGTTGACCTTCCAGGTCAGGTCAATGACCCAAAATCGGGAAAATCGGGACCTGTTAGAAAGTCGTAAAGTGTGGCTGCTAAGGGGTTTTTCGGGGTGCTGATCACAAATATCGTGTTAGTTTTGATCACAGATGATGTCTTGAAGCATTTAGACCAGGTCAGGTCAGGTCAGGTCAGGTCAACCAGTAGGCGTCGTGACGGGTATTCGTAGTACGTGTCAACCGCCTCTGACAGCTTCGTAACATGTTACGAAGTCACCAAAACTACTTCGTAAATGTTCAAATGGTTGCTAAATTCGAATTCAGCTCCAAAAACTAGCCTAGAAACATGTAAAACTCGAAAAAGTGACCCGAGGTCACCCGAGGTCACCAAAGGTCAATGACCTGACCTGACCTTCAGGTGACCTTGACACACACGGGAGTAACATCAAATCACATGCTTGAACGTTTGAAACCACGAAAAGCTTGCAAACACGCGGCTAGTGCGATCCGACATACGCGAAATCGCGATTCCGGCCAAACATGGTCTCGGAAAAGAGGTCACAGGTCAAAGGTCATTTGGGTCAGGGTCATGAAATTTTCAGGGTAGGTGTCAAATTGATCAATGCGAGGGTACTGAAAGTTTCGTCGCGATCGGCCGCTTTTTACGCGAGTTATTCGCGAAAAACCATGGGGGGGTCCATCCGACCCCCCCCCCCCCTACACATGCGAGGGTTAATTACTCTGTGGTCATATCTCGGCCCTTACTCCGTAACAGCTTGCAAAAATATAAGTTAAATTTGCTTCCCTGGCCATGCTAGCTTTCCAACGCCCCTTGCAGTCGCGCCTTTTCGACCCATATATCGACCATATCCACTTCATCCAAATTGCATTTATCCTGGGATCCACTGACTGTGCCATTTAAAATATTCTTTAAACGTCAAACTGCTTGCCGAAGTGCACGGTTATCCTGCGCACTCAATGTCCTCTGTGTCATAATACCGTGTTTTGTCCAATTAAGGTCACATTTGCTTTAAAAAACTGACATTTGCGTAAGGTTGTTTTTGCATGTTACGATAACTCTAGAAGACGTAAACTATGAGCATAAACTGTCTCCATAAAGTATTTGTGTTAGTTGATTGGTAAAAAAGGTGGGGCTGCATTTTTTGTCGCTTCAATTGATTGCTATTAGGCATACTGTTCATTATTGCCAGTATCTAACAATATGTTCATTTCGAGTGCCGTTGCCATGCATGGTGTTATTTTACGTACTCTGTCTTACGTACCCATATGACATAGACCATGTGTCTCATCTCTGTCCCTTTCTCCTTTCTCAGGCCGACTGGCGTGCTAGCTTCCCCAACGTCGCTTCAACAAACGGAGACTCATCTTCAACAGCCCCAACTTCAACAACATCGTCAACAACAGCGTCGTCATCCAAAGTACCCTCTGGTCAGAGTCAGGCGATCGGACAGATTCTCTCAACCCTCTCTGCTCCGTCTTCTCCTGGAGGAGGGTCAGAGACACTCTCTCGCACAGCGGCCGACATCAGAGCTCTTCGGAGGGAGATGGAGGCACGACTGCAAGCTGCACGTTCAGGGACTGAGGCTGGTGAGGTTGAACATGCTGTTGAACATGCCACAGAAGCTGTGGAGGGTGGTGGTGGGGACATTGATGAACGAGATATCTCTGAAGGAAGTGGAGATGACTGTACGTCTTTGGAGTCATCCCCACGGGAGATACGCGGGGAAGAGTCATCGAGTCAAAGAGTCGCGGTGACTCCTCCTCGCCGTGGTGGAATACTGGAAAGACTCCATGCGATTGACTCAGCCGCTGCGACTCTTCCACTGTCTTCAACCTCAACTACAACATCCTCTTCAACAGTGTCAGCATCCACCACATCCTTTCTATTATCCCCAGCACCAACCGCTTCTGCTTCAGGAATGGCGGTGGATTCTCGCTTCGGTTACCACCATACTGGTAACACTCGACCGGATCCTGCTTTGATGCCTCCTAATCAAGGACTAATCCATCAAATTCTCACCTCACATGCTACTACACCGAGTCGACCTGGCTCCACGCTAGATAAAGCAGAAGGAGGTGCCGTTCGAGCTGCTTCAAGCGGAATGCCTGGCGCTGTGACCAAACCAAAGCTACGGAAAAGCGCTAGCTTGACTCCGCCGAGTGGGGAGCGGAAGGGTGCGGCAGCTCATCCGAAGCTTGTGAGATCGGCTACTCTGCGTGAAGGGAGTAATGGTGGAGGGGGAGGGGCTGCGGGGTCGCCCAGGGCTCCTCCTCCCAAGGAGAGTGGAAATGCAAGGGTGGGAAGGTATATTCGGAGTCTGCTGCAGAGGATTTCTGAAGTACCCGATCAGTGAGAAATGGGGAGAGGAGTGGAGAAAAGAGAGAGAGAGAGAGAGAGAGAGAGAGAGAGAGGGGGCGTGAGGAGAGAAGGAACAGCAATAGAGAGGGAGAGGATGAGATAAGAGGGAGAGAGAGAGGGGGGAGAGAGGAAGAGGATGAGACAAGAGAGGGAATGAAACTAGACGGGACGAAGGAGAGATTGAAAGCTGACAAAGGAAGTGAGGGCAAGGAGACTGGGAGGTAGAATGGAGGAGAGAGTGAAATAAGAGGAAAATGTTTCGGTGATGCGTTGTTTCCTATGGCGACTCGAAGTTTGTGATACTGGTTTGTAAGGTGTAGAAGCGGTGTTACGAAGGGTATCATCGATTCATTGTTATTTATACCGACTTAGACCTGTGATGTGCTGAGTTAGCGTGCTGAGTTAGCACCACTAAACCAAATGTATGGCATTGATGTTGAGGCGTATACCAAAGTTTGATGTCACTGTGGCGAAATGTGATCGATAACGTATAGCTGCGTCATTTAAATGCGTTGTTCATGTGACGTCAATAATCCCAAATGCGACTTTTCGTCCAGTCCGCGACCGCGACATACTCGCCGTATTGAGGTGTGCGAATAGTCCTGAATGACGTCATGAGATCTTGTGACGTTGTCCGGGTGTTTGCGAAAATCCGCTCGCTAGAGATATTTGTTCAGCTGTGATACGTGGCCCGGAGACATTCCTGCTTGTTTTGCGTTGCCACTATGTGGTAACGTTTCGTGTTTCCATGTTTCCACTACGGCTATACATACCGATGTTGTTTCATTTCCGTTCCAGCTAGCGAATTCCATGCTTGAGAATTCCGCAAAACTTGCGCATTTATCGCCAGATCTGAGGACTTTTTGTGACGGACTGCGGGATGGCTGGAGGAATTGTGATAATTCTCTGGGTGGGTGGCGATAATAGGCGGTGTTGCGGGTTTGTTTTATTTGTGTATCTATGTATTGTATTTACTAGTGTGTGTGGTTGTGCCTTACAAAATACATGGTTGCCCTGTATTCGCCTGTTTTAGCTACGAGAGGGAGGAAGTCGGCTGAGAGACCAGGTAACCAGGCCCTTGACTGAGGTGTGCGGGTGGGACGGGTGCGGGGTGGGACGACGCCATTCACCGTTTACCGACTTGCTCCGACGATACGAAAGTCGTATAACTCTTATCATTCACTCGAAACAAAGTTGGATGGGCTCATGAATCATATGAACAATTTAGAAAGCAAAAACATCTACCGACGATACAACAGACTTCATTGTTTTGCATCGGTGGTCAGCAAGTCATCTGCCTGCCTTCGTACTTACTATGTTTTAGGGCCTTGGTACTTACCAAGGTATATAAAAACATGGTACTTACATAGTGACTGAGCCTCGTGAAGAAAGCGTAAAGGGCGCCTCTGGTGGCAGACTTGCAAAGCACAGAATAGGTGTCGCCACAATCTGACAAAAGTTGTGCTAGTGACGTAATAAGCTTTTTGTTCGTCGCACCGTGAGTATGAGTAATAATGGATGACCTTGGAAGCACTTCCGGCGATTTGTTTTGCGATTGACTTTGGATTGACTCGTGTTCTCCCAAGCTGCTGCGCGCCCTAACTCTTCAACAACATTCAACAACGACTCGTGTTCTCGCGCGCGTCTGGTGCGTAATATTCTGGAAAGTACTTATAAAGAGATATATTGAAAATTACTTCTGTTTCTCAGGAAATTGGCAGTGTAGGGTGTAATTTTACAAGCTACAAAGTATAAGGTAGGTCGAACTCGATAAAGCATTTATATCTAAACCAGGTTAGATTGAAGTGAGTCAAATAAAATATATCATAATAAATACTGAGCCTTATGCCAACCGTATCATGATCATTATTTACTATGTGTGATAAAGAAAGCTTTTTCTAACTGTCCTCTCTTCGAAATTCCTCTTTATGGCTTAATAATTTGCACAAAGACAGCACCAGCGCAGTTTGAAAGGGGTCAGGGTGACATGATCTTACAATATTTGTGTTAGTATAATTCCAGACTCTTCTTCCTGCTTTTTTGCCTGTTATTAACGTGGGGTACGTGTGAATGCAGGATTTACATGAGTGAGCATGAAAATGAGCTCATTTTTAGCCACTAACAGCTCACTTTCTCCAACAGTGACGAGATGAATCCGGACGACAAGCCGCCACCCTACTCTGAGGTGTCCCCTCCGGGCCAGGAATACCATCCACAGATGCAAGGTCAGTATCCGAGAGTTGCGGGAAGCGTAGACAAAAGGTTATTTGCAAAGGCTTCATTCAGGTAAATGTTTGCTTGTATTTACATCATAAAGACTTTTCTTTTTGGTTCAATTACAGCTTGCTCTTCATTGTTTTATAACAACATTTTTTGTGAATTTATCCAGCTGATCTTTTCAGCTTCCTCAGTTGTAAGTGTATATGCATGCATTAGGGAGGACTTGCTTGCTCAGACCCTCTGGATGTCCTTTAACTGATCCATCAGCACTGGACTGCATTCCACGATTCCAGTCCTAGTGGGTCACGTACAAGTGCTAATTCATACAACAACAAATTTTGTAAAGTAAGAGTGTAAATTTGTAAAACAATTATCGACAGGTGTCATTAAACCAGGACTACATAGTACATGGCAATAATCTTGTTGGTGCAGGGTGGCATGGGTAGCGCATAAAACAATGGGAGAAAGGGACAAATGTGTCCAGTCTTGAGCAAACATCAAAAACACAATATATTTTCAGAAATAGGGCCATACTGGCTATATGCCCCAGGCAGGGTGCAGCTGATCCCTTATCACTTATCACTGATCTTTGATCAATGATCAATGATCAATGATGGCCAGCAGCAAGGTAGTTGAAAAGTCATGTTAGGTCATAAAGCAGCAGTTTTTGACACATAGCTTATGAAAGAAGGCACTGGAAGATGTTCAGCTCAACAGTACAAATTGATTGATAGGTGTGTGCACTATGCAACATCACCTTTTTTACGGAGCGAGCGAAGCGAGCGGAGTCTCATACTGAATTAAGGGAAAATCCTGAGTATGAGCGGCCGGCCGGCCGGCCGGCCGTGGGGACGCTCTTCAAAAGCTAATATCTTAAGAACGGGACATCCGATTGACAAGCGGTCTTCTTTACTGAATGTCACTTGGACGTAAAAGTTCTGTGGTGTGATGGCCACCATGCGTTCTTGCCAACCACCGCACGTGGCGCGTGGTAAAGTTGGACATTTTTTAAGAACCCCCAAAATTGCAACCTCAATAACGGCACAACGGTTGGGCCGATTGAATTGAAACTCGGTACACAGTTAGGTCTCCATCAGATAATTCATCTGCATGTGTTAAGGTTGGGGTGCTACAGCACGTGCGCACGTGCAGGGGGCGCTCTTAGATCTCGAGAACGGCTGGGCCGATTGCGCTCAAATTTGGTACACGGTTGGGGACCAGTTAGTAGGGTGCCGTGCAAAAGTCAGTTTGGACCCCGCTTGCACGTGCGCACGTGCAGTGTGCCGCTTCCAGATCTCGAGAACGGCTAGGCCGATTGCGCTGAAATTTGGCACATCGCTAAAGACCGGTTAGTAGGGTGCATTGCACAAGTTAGTTGGAGGTACCCCCTCGCAATTTCGCACGTGCAAGGCCCATCCTCTCGCTCGCTCCGTTGGTCGCCCAAAAGGCGTTTTACTGGTTTGTTAGGTCATGACCTTGACCTCTAATCAGAGTTTCCAGTTGACATTTCAGGCGAATTATCAACTGGAAACTCTGATGACCTTTTTTTGGTTAGGTCATGACCTTGACCTCCCAGTTGACATTTCGGGCAAATTATGGTTCATTTGACGTGACTTGATGAGTAAGACATGATGGTATCGAAAGAAATAACATATATTCAGTCTGAAGTTGTCGCAGAACAAATGTTTCGGCCGAATCTGTATTTTCGCGGTTTTGGTCTCCAAAGGATGCTGGCGATCAATTTTCAGCGGTCAAGACATGTTCAGTTGTGCATTCTAGAGTCTAGACATCCTCTTTTTGTGAATTGACACAATTTGTATACCTACAATCGTCAAAAAAATTAAGCACAGTTACCTATTTCGGTGACAGAAAACGGTAAAAGTAAATACCGTGTGTAATGACGAAAGTAACGACCATCATCGGACTCATAGCACGTGCGCATTCATTCAATTTCATCTAACCCTTTATTTGCCGGAAATGGCACATGTATGCTGAGTTTCTCTGCAGTTAGGCCGCTCATGACGGAAATGATAGGTCATGCTAGTGTAAACATTCCTTGTTGGCTCATGGGTATCGGATGGTTGTGTGTATCAAATGTCATATCAAGGAGCTGATCAAATTAAGCCAGACTAGCCAGACCGCTACAGCCATAATATTTGCCTCGTTCTTACGAATACAAATTGGAATAGCGTACAAATATTGTTGACATGTTGATGTGTTGTGTGTATGTGTTGTCCTTGTGTGCAGTATTTATGCGTTTGCGTTTTATCTTGCCTTTGTTGTGCTCGACTGCGTTGTTTCTGATGTCTTGATGCACTACCGTGCCCTATGAACGTACTGTAGCATGTATTGTGCCGGGTGCCCTAGTTGAGCACACCATTTTGTACTCCCGTTTTAGTTCACACCATGCAAAACCTGTCTCATACTGACGTTCATTGCACCATTATAAATCATTTTTTTACGGTTGCCATGTCGTAGTATGCTGTACTTGGGTCTCCATATCTTTCTACAATAACTACTGAACTGTCGTAACACCTCTTTCATGTTTTATCTCACCCATTTAAGCCAGCATGCTACTTGTACGGCCCTCCAGGTATTAAGTGGTTGGTTGTAGAGTTGCAAAGTTTTGCCAATGGGCTGCTACCGGCACCGCCCCGCCCCACAAAAATTTTCTGGGATACCGGCATGCTACCACGCCCCAAGCAAAAAAAATCGCCAAATTACCGGCATACTAAAAACCTGCATTCTTGATTCTGGCTTACCCCTACATGAGATGCCACATTTTGGCAATTTCAGTAACCGCCCCACCCAGCAGCCACCCATTGTCCAACCAAAACTACCAGCAGCCCTGATTTTGGCTGTTGGCCCCACAAATACCACAATTTTGAAACTCAATTCCAGTCTACAGCTGTTAAAATATCATCTGTAATCAAAGAGGTATTGCCTACAAAAAGCATTAACACATTCATCAAAAAAGCAAGGACAAAAAGAACTTGAATTAGGCACAGAAATGTGTTTCTGAAAACTGCACAGTGAGCAGCAATCACATTTACCACAACCGTTCTTATTTTCCACATTCTCCTAAAATGTTACAGGTACCAACCAAATAATGAACTATAGATAGTCACAAATCACAATATAAAAAACTACAGGTTCGGCCATGTTGAAATACCGGCATGCTACCGGCAACACATGCCAGCTACCACGAAAAAACCTGCGGTAGTGAAAAATTACCGGCATGCCGGTAGTGCGGTAGGGAAATTTTGCAACTCTAGTTGGTTGCCAACATCACAATAAGCGATCTGCATTGATGAATACGTCTAATGGGCATGGCTGTTGAAAACCATTGCCGAAATCATGAAATGTGTGCACGACACCTCTTCTCATTTCTATTGAGTCATTTTACTGGGGTGTCTCTGTCATTTTCAATAGGCTAACCACCGACTCTTTTGCTGCAGGGCCGTACCTATCGTCCTAGTGCTTCGTTGTAACTCACTTCCTATGACTCACACATACCTCTCTCTTTTTCTAATTCACAGGTCCACCTCCAATGACCCACCAGCCCGGACCTCACGGCGGACCCCATAGACCCCATGGATCCCACGGACACCACGAGAGCTACCACGGAGACCGCGTGCCTCTAGCGGGCGGTCCTCAGCCGGGATACGGCAGTGTGACGTATGTCACTACTCATACTGTACCGGCCCATGAAGTCATCATTGTCGGAGGCTGCCCAGCTTGTAGGGTAAGAAGGGCCCTTTGTTGGGTTTCATGAGTGTTTCATGGGGATTTTTCTGCG